TAACTTTTAGGTATTAAAATATAAATGGCAAAATAAACTATTTAAAGTAAATAAATAGTAAAGGCCAGCTGTTGAAAAAGCTAAAAACACCAAGAAGTACTCAATTCATTTGGCTATGAATAAAGTTTTCTTGCTTACAATCCTGTGACAATAGGGCTTAGAAGAAGGAATGATTCACTTCAAGGAGTTAGAGTTAGAAGCTTTCTTTTATTGGCCACACTAAAGTAAGGAAATCTAGGCAGTTCCAGGTAAAGATTTTAAAAGCAATATGATTGGGGCTAGACAGATGGCTAAGCAGCTAAGAGTACTGCTGCTCTTGCAGAGGACCCAGGTTCAGTTCCCAGCACCCACACGACATATCACAACACTGTGTGACTCCAGTTCCATGGGATCTAACACCCTCTTCTAGCCTCCACAGGTACCTGCACACAAATTTAGTGTATTCTTATTTTATTTTTATTTTTTATTGTTTTAAGTTAACATGCAAAGTAATGGTTTCATTATAGCACTTTCTGTGTGTGCATGTATGTGTGTGTAATGTGTTTATGTGTTTATGTAGGTGTGTGCACATGTGCATGTTAGTATGCATGCACACGTGTGCATGTAGAGGATAGTGGTTGGTATTGGCAGTCTTCTTCAATCGTTCTCCACCTTAATTTTTGAGGCAGGGTATCTCACTAAACATGGAGTTCACTTATTTGGCTAGGCTGGCTGGCCGGTCAATTAGCTCCAGGTATCCGCCCATCCCCACATCCTCAACATTAGGATTACAGATGCACAGCACCATACCCAGCTATTTTATGTGGGTACTGGGGATCCATACTCAGGTCCTCATGGTTGTATGGCAAGCACTTTACCAACTAAGCCATTTCCTCAGTGCCCTTATTATAGCATTATCATAAGTATATTCTACTTTACTTTGTTCTTACCCATCCCCTTAAGCTACTGTCATTTCTCCTCCCTTTCCCCCCTCCTCCCAAACGTTTCCCATTTCTGCTTTCATGACACGTGTATTCCATTACTCTCTTTTCTTCCCTCCCTCTCTCTTCCCTTAAGGTTTCTTTATCTCCTCTCATGATCCCCTTCTACTTTCCTGACCTGCATACACACACACACACACACACACACACACACACACACACACACCACAAATCTAGAGTCCACATGTGAGAAAAACATGGTATTTGTCTTTCTAATGTGACTTAGTTTGCTTAGCAAAATGATCTCTAGTTACATCTAGTTTTCTGAAAATGTCATAATTTCATTTTTCTTTATGGCTGATTAAAATTCTACTGTATATGTACATTTTCTTTACCCATTCATCTGTTAAAGGACATCTAGGCTGGTTCCATTTCTTAGTCATTGTGAATAGTGCAACAATAAATATATATGTGCAAGGATCTCTGTGGTATGTTGACTTGAGTCCTGCAGGTGTATACCCATGAATGGTACAGCTGGGTCCTATGATACTTCTATTTTGAGTTTTGTGAAATTCCCCACAGACTTCCACAGTGGCTGCATCACTTTACATTCCTACCTGTAGTTTATAGTTTCCCCTTTCCCCATATGCTCACCAGCATTTGTTTGCTGGATGATAGCCATTCTGACTGGGTTGAGATAACTCTCTAAGTAGTTTTAATTTAAATTTTTATTTTGAGTGCTGTTTCAAATATTTACTGCCCATTTGTCTTTCTTCCTTGGGGAAATGTCTGCTCATTTCATTATCCTATTTACTGATTAGATATTTCTTTTGGTGTTTAAATTTCGTTATGTTTTTATATATTTTAGATATTTATCCTTTAGCATATAATTGGCAAATATTTTTCCCATTCCGTAGACTGTCCCTTCATTCTGATGATTATTTCTTTTGATATTAGAAACTAATTTTATGTAATCCTATGTGTCAATTATTAGGATTTTTTCCTGTGCTATTGGAGTCTTTTTCAAGAAATCCTTACCTATGCCTATATCTTCAAGTGTTTTATCTGTTTTCCTCTAGTATCTTTAAAGTTGAAGATCTTACACTTAGGTGTTTGATTCATTTTGAACTGAATATCTTACAGTTCAGTGTTTGATTCACTTTGAATTGATTTTTTGTAAAATGAGAAATATGGGTCTAGTTCCATTATTTTACAGATGAATATCCAGTTTTCCAAGCATCATTTTTGAAGAGGCTGTTTTTTTTCCAATGTATATTTTTGAGACATTTGTTAAATTAGGTGGTTATAGCTGCATGGGTTTATTTCTGGGTTTTCTGTTCCACTGGCCTACGTGTCTATTTTTGTGCCAGTAACCATGCTGGTTTTGTTACTATAGCTTTGTAATATATTTTTATATCAGGTATTGTGATACTGCCAGAATCATTCTTTCTGTTTATTACTCTTTTGGATATTTGAATCTTTTGTGTTTACATATAAATTTTAGGATTAGTTTTTCTATTTCTACAAAGGACATAATTGGAATTTTAATCAGGTTAAATTGAATCTGTACATTGCTCTTAGCAATATGGTTATTTTCATAATTTTGATTTTGCTAATCCATGCACAAGGGAGGCCTTTACATTTTCTAGTGTGAGCCTTTAATTTTGATTAGGAAAATTAGCCCTAAATGTGAAGAAAACATCCAAAATATAACACCATTATTTACTATCTTATTGCTGTGTGTTCTAATATGGATGTTTGGAACCTACTGTCATTCAAACCTCAACCTCCGGCTCTGTCTCTGTCTCTGTGTCTTTCTCTGTCTCTTGCTCACTCATTCTCACTCACTCTTTCTCTTCAGAGGTAGTGGGGTAAGGTGATTGCTAAGATCTTTGGCTATACAGAATATTTTTTAGTAAGATAACCTAGGATCCACCTGAAACCTTGCAAAACCAGTTCTCATTCATGGATAATGGCTATCATCCTAAGTATCAACAACTAAACAACGAGAGCTAATGACTCAGGAGCACAAAGTTCACAGTTCTACACAGTATTAACTGATGGACTAATTTAATACACCTTCAGTCTTAATAACAAATGGCAGGATACAAAGTGGTTTCCAAGAATGGGAAATGGCTCAAAGGGTAAAGTGTTGTGCAAGGAAGAGGACTTGAATTTAGAACCCCAGCACCCATGTTGAAATAAAAGTTGAGTGTGGTGGCACACATCTGTTAACCTCAGTGCTGGGAAGTGAGGACAGGAGGATCCCAGAGGCTTGCTGGCCCAACCAATCTAGCCAATGAGTGAAATCCAGGTTCAGTGAGAGCTCCTGTCTCAAAAACAAGTTGAAGAACAATAGAGAAAGGCATGCAGTATCAACCTCTGGGCTACACAGGCACACACATGGGCACATGTATACACACACACACACACAGACACACACACACACAAACACAGAAACAAAGAGACAGACAGGTTTGCAGCCAGGAGTGGTAGTGCACATCTGTAATCCCAGCACTCAGGAGGCTGAGGCAGGAAAACTCCCATGAATTGAATTCAAGCCAGCCTGAGCTACATAGTAAAACCATGTCTAAAAGAGGGAAGGAGTAGAAAAAGAAAGAAAGAAAGAAATGAAGAGTGGCTTCTTTCTGTATTCATTGTGTTTTTCACCTTTCAGAGGGGACCACCACCAGGTTTTGGGCGTGCCAAATTCAGCAATGAAGAAGGAGTAAGTAGGAGCAAAGCTATAGCCCCAATTAGGAATTACAATCTACTAGCTGCTACCTTTTAATCCACATCTCATAAGAAATTAAAAATCACCATAAGAACCTTCTGTAGCTCAAGTTCCCAAGATTTTTTAAGTGAAATAAAACCAAACTAGTAGCCTAAATAAATGTGACACACTGCAGGGCACAGCGTTGCATGGCTGTGATCCCAGCATGCAGGAGTCAGAAGTGAGACCTTGGATCCAATCCCCAGCACCGTAAAAAATGTGACACATCATTTTGCTTTGCATGTACTGAAATATGTATCTCACGTATTTACTAAGAGAACTATTATGCTCTTTGCAGAATAGGTGGTGAGCTCCAGGCAGTGTAAAACACAGAAGGAAGATCATCTTATAGTATTACCTTCAAAGGGGAATTAAATGACCACCTAAATCCTTCATTGTACAAATAAACTGAAATCCTGAGAAGATGAATTACTATTCACTTTCTCCTATTGAGTTAACAAACTAGAACAAACCCAAGTCTTATGATACCATGTCTTTTTTTTACTATACTATACTTCTTTTACTATACTATGCTTATTCTCTTCAATAATCAAATATCCATTACCAACTCCTAAAATACTATAGACTGGGTCATCAAATAAGTCATTTTAGTGGCTGTGGCTCCACTTGCTCTTTTTTCCTAAATATGTGATATGCGATCAGTGAAATGCGGAAACCAATAGCTTGGCTAGAGGAATGGTAAGCAATGCTATTAAAATAATGATGACTAAAAAGTATTACTTCAATAATGGTAACAGGGTACTTTCAAAAATATCACTATGAAATACCCAAATAAGGGTAATCCAAATCATTGTCTGCAACTTAACCTAGAAACTAGAACTTTGGATTTTCATAAACAACATTAGAAATTGAAACAGAAAAACAAAGGCGTTAACTCTGTAACATCTACCTTTTGAGGACACTGCTCAATTTCCTGCATGATGCTGGAGATACTATTTCATAATCTCTATCCCCAGGTTAAGATTAAACTATTTTCCCTATGTTGTATCTGTTTTCAAAATAACTGGAGATACAACTCAGTTATAGGGTACTTAACTACCTTTTCTAAGGCCCTTGGTTTGATCACCAGCACAGGAAAAAAATTAAATAATTTAAATGATACACAATCACAGCGGTCATAATTAAATTATTCATTAAATGAAAAATTAGTAGGCACCGTTTCCCACTGTGCTGCAAAACTCGGATATTAAAAACAGTATTTTCACTCAAAAACTTCACATGGGAAAATCAAATGGGAGGATCCCAAGAAAACAAGCAACTAAAATTCAATGTGATGATCATCACAACAGAAGTCTGTTCTGCTAAGGACACCCAGGAATAGAGTCTGAGCCTAATCCTGGTCAGGATAGTCAGGGCAGGAGTAACAGTCAAGCTGAGTCCTGAAGGGTGAGTCAGGTGTGCTGGGAGGGATAAATGTATAGTAGGAAAAGGTTAGATAGGAAGAGGTCATGTGGGAAGACTCAAGAGTATTGGTAGATATCATTTGCAACCATATCAAGTTCAAGGGGGAGAAAATAACATTGAATGTCATTGTTATGGCCCATATGATTATAAAAATTTTTAACATTATTATTTTATAATGTGTAGCATTTATTAGACACAAAGTTCTAGCTACAGAAATTTGTATTTATATATACATTTATGTATATTCTCATTTGACCCTAATGACAAATTGTATAGTTGATACTATTTTATTGTTACCTCTATATTACAAGTAAACAAAGTAAACTTAGTCAATAGTCATAGTACTAAAAATAACAGAAAGATTCCAACCCTCCTCTGTCTAACATCCAACTGTTCAGCATCAAGATGTACTGCTTTCTATGTTGTGCTAAAAGATTTAAAGTTTATCTTTTAAGGTAAGGGAAAATTTATTTAAAATGTATTTATTTATGTATTTTTATTATGAGAATAGGTGTTTCAACCTGCTTGTATTTAAGTGCACCCATGTGTGCAATGCCAGAAGAAGGCATCAGATCCTCTGGAACTGGAGTTACCGACAGTTGTTAGCCACCATGTGGGTGCTGGGAACTGAACCCGGGTCCTCTGCAAAAGCAGCTGGTGCTCTTAACCACTGAGCCATCTCTCCAGCTCCAAGTCAACTTTAAATAAATATTTAAAGAGGAAAGTGTTGCAATTCCCAGAGACCTATCCCCAACTTCTATTCTGATTGCAGCAGTGAAGCAAAATTAGAAGAAAGTAGTAAGATCACACATACAGTAGCCAGTAAGAAAACTAATAGTTTGGGAGTATTAGAGATAAAAGAAGACAGACAAGGATGAAAGCTTAGGTTTTTGTTTTTTTTTTTTAGAACTTGGTAATTAGTTCTCTGAGGAAATAAAGGTGAAAGTAGTAACTGAGGAACTGGTTTGAGAGTAGTAACTATTCCTTGGATATACAGTATTGGATGGACAATGATGTTTGTTGGGAGATGAACCTAGATAGAGCTGCATTCAGGTGGAAGTACTCAGAGCCTTGCTGCCTCAACCTTGGGAGAATGCTATGGGACAGACTTCTGACTTTGCTAGTCAAAAGCATGTATCCATACTGAAAGTACTGGCATGCAATTGATTCCACAACATAGGTGTATAAAATGAGAACAGAAAATAAGGATGATAGGGATTCAGAAAATAAATCTGTCAGTCATGATGGAACATGCCTGTAATCCCAGCACTCTGGAGGCAGAGAAAGGATGATCACTATAAGTTCAAAGCTAGATTGATCAGTTCCAGGCCAGCCAGGTATACATGGCAGGTCTCTGTCTCAAAAATAAATAAAATTTTAATTAAAGATTATAAAAATAACCTGAGAGCAGGACATGGTAGTGTGTGTCTTTAATACCAGTCCTCGGGAGGCAGAGGCAGGTGAATCTAAGATTCAGGCCAGCCTGGTCCACATAGGTGACTTCCAGGTGGATTGGAACTAGGGAGACCCTGGTTTAAAAAAAAACCTGGGAATGATGGCTCATACCTTTAACCTCGGCATCCAGGAGGCTGAGGCAGGAGGATTTCCACAAGTTCAAAGCCTAAGCTACAGAATGAGATCTTGAGATCTTATTTTTTTAAAAAATAAACCCTCCAAATTTCCATCTGGGCCTGGAGATCAGAACTAGTGTCAAAAAAGAGAGCCAAGGGTTGAAAGAAGCAATCAGATTTCAAGAGGGAAAGCAGAGCCATTTGTGGTTCAAGCAACACCATGGTAAGAAACAAAAATAGCTCTTAATTTCCATCCTCTTTCCTGCAGAATCCTTATTTTGGATTTTTTGGATATCATGGCTTTGGGGGTCGTCCTTATTATTCAGAAGAGATGTTTGAAGATTATGAAAAACCCAAAGAAAAAGATCCTCCTAAAGAAGAGGACCCGCCCCCAGAACCCTCAGCTAATTCAACAGTGACTGAGGCTAATTCCACTCAACCAATTCCTGGAGGGAGTCAAGGTGGAAATGACACTAGCACAATAGGAAACAGGGGCCCTGGGCCTAACCCTGGGAACAACCCTACCATTCAAAATGGTGTCTTCCCACTCCCTAAAGTTAATATTTCAGGCCAGGGAGTACCAAAAAAACAAATTCCATGGAGACCAAATCAGCCAAATATTTATGAAAATTATCCACATCCAAATACACAGAATTATCCTACAGGAAGACAATGGCAAACCACTGGTACCACGGTCATGGGGCACAGACAGGCTGGACCTAGTAACCGAAATCAAGAAGTCCAAAGAGGTCCTAGGTGGAATTCCTTTGCTTGGGAAGGCAAACAAGGAACTCGCCCAGGAAATCCAACTTATCGTAAGGCTTCCCCTCCAACTTCAAGAGCCAATTATCCCAACTATGCAGGAAATCCAGTCAATTTTAGAAGAAAACTTCAGGGGCCAAATAAACCATTTGTGGGAACCAATGCTGCCTCAAATAATCCATACGGCGGAACCAATGCTGCCTCAAATAAACCATTTGTGGGAACCAATGCTGCCTCAAATAATCCATACGGTGGAACCAATGCTGCCCCAAATAAACCATTTGTGAGAACCAATGCTTCCCCAAACAATCCGTTTGGAGGAACCAATGCTGCCTCAAATAATCCATACGGCGGAACCAATGCTGCCTCAGATAAACCATTTGTGGGAACCAATGCTGCCTCAAATAATCCATACGGCGGAACCAATGCTGCCTCAAATAAACCATTTGTGGGAACCAATGCTGCCTCAAATAATCCATACGGTGGAACCAATGCTGCCCCAAATAAACCATTTGTGAGAACCAATGCTTCCCCAAACAATCCGTTTGGAGGAACCAATGCTGCCTCAAATAATCCATACGGCGGAACCAATGCTGCCTCAAATAATCCATATGGCGGAACCAATGCTGCGCCAAATAATCCATACGGCGGAACCAATGCTGCCCCAAATAAACCATTTGTAGGAACCAATGCTGCCTCAAATAATCCATATGGCGGAACCAATGCTGGCCCAAATAAACCGTTTGTGAGAACCAATGCTGCCCCAAACAATCCGTTTGGAGGAACCAATGCTGCCTCAAATAATCCATTTGTGGGAACCAAAGCTGCCTCTAACAACGCATATATAGGAACAAATGCTGCTTCAAATAAGCCATTTACAGGAATAAATACTGCCTCAAATAAACACCCTGTGGGAACAAATGGAGTTTCACTGGGTCCTAAACAAGGTGCTATTGGCCACAAGACAAAAATCCCAAATCCAAAGGAAAAGTCATCAGGTCAAAAAGAAAGAACAATCAGTCCTACAAAAGAAACAGCTGGTCCCTGGAGAAGCTCTCAACAATATGGAGTTAACAAACCAAATTATAATTTGCCTCATCCTGAGGGCAGCATGCTAGGCCCTAATTTTAATTCTTTTGATCAGCATGAAAACTATTACCCAAGAGGAGATTCCAGAAAAGTACCAAGTCCCAATTTAATTCAAAGTCAGAATTTGCCCAAAGGGATTGCTTTGGAGCCAAGAAGAACCCCATTTGAATCAGAAACTAAGCAGCCTGAGGTCAAGCACAGTACACATCAGCCTGCGTATCCTAAGGAAATCCCTTCTCCTACAAAAGAGCATTTTCCTGCTGAAAGAAATACCTGGAATCACCAAGAAATCCCTCCACCCTTTAAGGAAGATCTAGGGAAGCAAGAAGAAAATTTACCTCATCCTTCCTATGGTTCTAGAGGAAGTGTTTTCTACCATGAACATAACTCCTATTATCCTAAAGAAAAGTCACCATACATCAGAAACAATATGTGGGATGAGAGAGTTGACTCTCTCAATCTTATAGGGCAACAAGAAAATCCACAGTATCCCATGAATTCTCTAGACCAGAAGGAGATAATCCATTATAATGAAGAGGATCCAGTTGATCCAAATGGAGATGAATCTTTTCCAGGACAAAGCAAATGGGGTGAAGAAGAGCTGAACTTTAAAGAAAGCCCAACAGTTAGGCAGTATGAGAATGATCAATATGCCTCAAACCAACCAAGGGAATATCTTCCCTATCCCTTAGGTAATCCATCAAAACCCCCAGAAGATTTTCCTTATAGTGAATTTTATCCTTGGAACCAAGATGAAACTTTTCCAACATATAATCCAGGTCCCACTATATCACCACCCATGGACAGGAGCTATTATGTTAATAATGCTGTTGGACAAGAAGAAAGCACTCTCTTTCCTTCATGGAACTCCTGGGACCACAGGAATCAAGACCAAGGACAGAAAGAAAGTCAGCCGTATTTCCACAGAAACTTCTGGGATTCATCAACAAATTTACACAAATCTAATACACCAAACCAGAAAGGAAGCCATCCTTATTCTAGTAAGTCCCCTCTTGGGGACTTTTTTTTTCAAAAAAATCCAACATGGCTTGAAGGTGAAAATTTGAACTATGATTTGCAAATGGCTAGTTTAAATCCACCAGAGAGAGAATATTTGACTTTCCAAGGCTTAAGTCCTCAAAGTTACCCATCAGGTCAAAAAGAGGCACATTCATTTCACCAAAGTCAGAGAGGTTCCTGCTGCATTGGCGGCTCCACAGGACACAAAGACAACCCACTAGATCTACAAGATTACACTTCATCCTATGCTCTTGCACAAGGGGAGAACCAAGAAACCAGTCCTATGTATACAGAAAGTAGTCATACCAAGTATACAAGACCTAATGTCTCTCCAACAAGCATCCTACCTAGTCAAAGAAACATCTCAGAGAATAAACTAACTGCAGAAAGCCAAAAGCCAAGTCTGTTTGGAGATGATTTGTCCACTCTGAAGAGGGATACCCCATGTTCTGTAAAAAATCCATTGGAAATAGGAGTTAGAGCCTTTCCTGAAGCCAGCTCTCCTCAACCAAAGAATATGCCTTGTCTCAAAAGTGAACTTGGAGAAGATAGAAATGATGTTCTGAAACAAATTTTCAAAGGCAGCCAGCTCAGTGAAAGAACTGCTGACCTTACTCCTGAACAGCTTGTTATTGGTACACCTGACAAAGGCCCTGGGCCAGAAAGCATCCAAAATGAAGCCCAAGGAAATGAGGGCAAGAGGCAGCAGCAAAGACCACCTACCATCCTGAAGTTACCGTGTTTTAGCTCCAAATTAGCAACACTTCACTCCTCCAGCACTGGACCTCCAACTAGCAATGGAAGGCAAAGCCCATTTAATAGAGATATTTCTATGCCTACTGAAAATCCTATCACATTGGTTGGGTTAGCTACTGGAGAACAATTTAAAAGCATAAATGTAGATCAACTTAATGCAGATGAACATACTGCATTTGAATCCTTTCAAGGAACCAATCCACAGGACCAAGTACATGACTGCTTACTGCTTCAGGCCTAGGAGTTACTTCAACCAAACATTGGAAGAAAAACAACTAGCATACCAATGACTCCACATTTTTTCCCTAAGACTTAATTATCTAACCCTCTTAGTGATCCTTAAGTTTTTTCCCTCCCAACGGTAGGAATAGTGGCCCAGGTGGAGTTAATGAGATGGGCCTCTGGGGCTGGCTGGATCCAGCACTGTCACAAATTAGTGAACATTTAAGAAACATGAAGGCCATGACCACTCCTGATTTGAAACTTGGAAGCTACTTGTCTGAATTAGTTACCTTTCTCTGGTTCTCCTTTTCCTCTCAAATTACCCTACTTGCAAAGTTGTCTGGTTTTGCAATCTGAAACATCTGAAAGGCAGCTGAGCTTTCCATTTTATACAGAGATCTGTAGGGACACTGGTGTAGTCCTGATGTGCTATATTCCTTTTCCCTTGTGTTTTTTGTCACTTTTGTCTCCTAGTTAGCATTCGCCAGCATTTTTTCAGCCACTGTCTCCTTAACATTATTATTTCCTTCTTTCTCCTTCAACCTTATCTTTCTCCTTCCTTCTCTATTGAGCTTTCAGTTTTTCGCCAGTACTCTCTTCATCACCTCTCACATGCTAAACTTCCTTTAACCACCATCATTCTATTCTTTCTCTTCACCCCCTCCATGACTTCCTTTCCTCCCACTCTTCTGTTCTCTTAATGTGTCACTTGTCAATTAATCCTTCTCTGACTCTTTTCTCCTTCAGTTTCTCTTTTTTTCTTCTAGATCATTTTAATATCTTAAGACTGTACATTACTTTCACTCTTTTTTATCTATACTGTAAATTCCACTAATTTTTTTCTCAGGTAAACCATCACTGTAGAATCTGAAATAATAAGCAGACACTAATACCTATTTTTGTTGTTGATTTTCTCATGACCTCTACCAAGTAGACAGTTCAATCAAAAGAACATATTCCAGGACAAGAGAAGACAGGTTACTTACTAGAACTAGAAACATACAGAAAAGGCTTAGGAATGTAGAGAATGAAGAACTGAAGAAATTATCACTCTGGGACTGAATTTAAAAAAAAAAAAAAAAAAAAAAAAAGACTAAGGCTTGCTAAATCAGCTACCAGTTCACAATCTCCAAGATCTGTAGAGGACATTTCAGGAAACTCCATCTTATGGAGCTAAAACACTCAATGTTTAGTTTTCTTTACTAGTTCAGTATAAATTCAATATATACTACAACTAACATGCTTTTTTTCTTGTCCTTGTAGAATTATTCACAGACACAGCTTCAGGGTATCATGATTAAATAGTGTAAATTATTTTGTAAAGTAGGTGTTTCTGTATTGTCTTGCTTAGACTATATTTGAGTCTTATTGATATTATTTTTACTATAATTAAAGGCACTTTGGCCTATTATCTGGATATTGCTTGCTTGGGGGCGAGAGGGTAAAATTCTCAAAATTACCTACGATGTTACTTTCTATCACTAAGGAATTTCTCAGAAGAAAATTTCCTGTGACAGATTTTATAAGACCTCAGAAATTTGGTGAGATTCTCCTGAAAAATAGAACTTTGCCCTTGAATCTTCTAAAATACCTAGCATAGAGACTTGCTCATAGGAAATAACCAGTAAATGTTTACTTATTGACTGGCATTTGGATGCCTTTCAACACTCACATGAAAGCACTATAGTCTGCCTTCCCTATAGATGAAATGTATGGAATACTGTGTAGCAAACCATATTCTATGGTTTTATGTATTCAACAACGCTTGCATCAGAATATTGTATATTGTCTGTGCTAGCCATTGGTAGCTTAAATTCCTCACACAAATGATTTTATACTTTAATCACAAATTGAAAATCACTAACCTGTTCTGTATAAAACTGTGTTCTAAGAATTATCCTCTCAAAATAAAACTACATTATATTTCACTGTCTTTTTAACTTTTTTCCTGAAATTTCAGTATGAATACTTTCACTGCAATATATTCACTTTCTAGTTCATCATAATGAATGGGTCACACAGTGGTTTTGGCAAATATTGTCCTGTCAATAGTGATGCGCCCAAGAGCCAGGGCCCAAACTAGCAGACCAATTGATATGAAAGTTTTAGTAAAGAATGGACACTATAGGCAGGAAAAGCAATGGGCAAATTTTCAGAGAGGGTTTCATCCCTGTGAGGGACTGAAGTCCTTTTATATAAGTTAAGAAAAGTTATCTGGGTTAGTTTCCTGAGCCATTTGTGTGGGGTCGCATCTGAACAGAGTTCAAGGTGGCAACTCACTATCTTGAGTAGGTTATTTTATAACATCATCTCCCTTCTTGGAGTGAGGCACCAGGAACCTTTAGGAGTTAGGCTCTAATTATTTGTATAAAGAATCAAAACTCTGGCTCTGGATAATTAGGATCTGACAGCTACAGAGTGGAAAATTTTGCTCTTTTGCCTTTTGTTCTTGTTATTTTTGTCTCTACAAACATGTTGACACATCTACTACATCTATGAAATATTGTTACTTAAACTATCATCTGTAATGTAAGATATAGAAAGCACAATGTGACCAAAAAATCTACTGAATTTAAGAACATTTTATAAAAAAAAAAGAATGAAAATGTTTCTATAGAAAGTGATTCTTCCCATGAGCAGGGATGCTCCTGCAAGACTGGCTATTATATCTCAGTTCCTTGCATTAAACATATTAATCACTCTGTGTGCCCCACTTAAGTTATTCATAAAGATTTTAAAGTCTACTCTAAGATTAAGGGCCACATAATAGAAATGGACATTAACAGCATCTCCATCGTGCTACTACTGCCCCACTTCTATAGTGGGTGGCTACATCTAACAGTCATCCCCTGCTGGTTCTAAAATAGCTAGTTGTTAGGATGTTGTTAGTAGATAAACAACAAATAATAAAATAATATCTAAAGGTTACAAACACAGGAGATAACCCAGCAAAGTTCATACATACCATCTATCATAGGGTTGCTGGAGGGCCTGATCTAGTTAATGGGAAATACTGTACTTCTTGCTCTGTGTGGGATGTGAAGTAGAATGGAAATTCTAAAAATTCAGTGTAGCTGCTGTTATCATGGAGATTCTTCCTCTGGCTTTGTGGAGCATCTAAAGACATAGATAACACATTTTAATTTGGGCACTCAAGCCAGAACCATATATTTAATACATCTGTGAAGAGAATTTTGAGTTATTTAGACATATATTTCTGCCTGGTTTTCTTTTTCTTCTCTCACTTAGCCCAGTCTCAGTCATAACTTTTTTTAAAAAGACTCATCTTGTCCTCAAGAAACCAAAATTTATTTCTAAGAATCAAAAAGGGAACCAAAAATGTGGGGCTTAAAACCAACAGGTCTGTCCCTACTTTACCAAACCATAAATTTAGGTTTCACTGTGACTCAGGCCAGTTGCTAATTATAACCCAACAGGAAACTGTACTTGATAGATAATCATCATTTCGGCAAGGATGCAGTGCTTGGCTCTGTCCACCTGTTCTTTCTTGCCTCTCTGCCTCACCCTATTCCAGAAACAGCTACTAGTCCTTCCTTTCTTTCTTTGAATGTGTAGTCAATTCAGTTTAGAACACAAACCAGCTGGTAACAAGCACAATTCCCTACGAGCAGAGGAAAAGACCCCAAAAGAAGCAGCAAGGGAGAAGCTGAGCTGTAATCTGACAGAACTGCTGAATAGGTGAAGCTGCACACAGTGGCTCGTCACCTCCCCAGTCAAGGCCTTGTGCTTTCACGGTGCTCGATTCCATTTTCCCAAGCACCTAGAATCCTTCATTTCTACACTTCATTTTAGCCTGTACAATGATTATCTCTGCCTGTATCTAAATAATCAAATTGTTTAAAAGTTATTTGCTGTAGTTAAATCTGACAGAATTTTTTTTCTCACATGTTGATTGATAGGGAGTTCTCCCAAATCATCTCCTAGCCCCTTAAAGATCGAGTCTAGTCATGGTTCATTTGGGGAAAAGAAATAGCAGGAACTTTTGTTTGTAAAGGACCTTGACTTAGTTATAAAATTACAGTGGCGGGCTGGAGAGATGGCTCATCAGTTAAGAGCACTTGCTGCTTTTGCAGAGGACCCAGCTTCAATTCCCAGCACCCACACTGCAGTTAACAACTGTCTATAACTCCAGTTCCAAGGGATCCAACACCCTCTTCTGACTTCTGCGGGCATTGCACAACACGGGTGCACCCACCTACATGCAGGCATTACATTCATACACATAAAAATAATAAAAATAAATAAAACTACAGTGAAAACTTCCTCCTTTGTGTAAGATTTAGGCTGTTTTCTGACTCTTACATGCCATATGCTGTGTAGCTGTTTCCTCCACCTGGAAACACTCCCTCCTGAGGGAGAAGGGGGCTTAAAAGACTCAGGAAGCTCATAGAACTTACAAAACTTCATGAGTTCCCTCCCTAAGTTTACATCAGCAAAAACAACAGTTGCTGGGGGAGAGGGGACTTCTGTGGAGCCACCCATAAGATGTGTATGGGGCACCAGTGATGCAGCTTCAGTGAGTCACCACCTACCTGTCACCACCATGGGCCACCTGAATCACCTATGCTCTTCTAAACAAGCCCAACAAATTCATAGGCTCTCCCAAGGTAGACCTGAGTGGAATTGTTTCTCCGGTCTGTCATTGGTGTTTTGTCTAGAGTGGATAGATGTTTGTTCACATCCTATAACACAACAACATGCTAGCACTTCTCACTCTTCAATGTGCATATGAATTTCATTAAAATTCAGTACAACGGGCCTAGAGAGATGACTCAGTGGTTAAGTGTGCTTGCTGTTCTTTCAAAGTATATGAATTTTGTTCCCAGCACTCACATTAGGCAGTTCACAACCGCCTGTAACTCCAGCTCCAGGGGATAGAATTTCATCTTCTGGCCTCCTCTGAGGGCATCTGCATGTATGTGGCATACATACACACATACACGTTTTTTAAATGTGACTGTTAAAATGCCATGGATCTGGAGCAGGGGCCTCTATTCT